ACATGGACGACCTCTACTCCCAGTAGAAGCGGAGATATCGACGATGAAGCTGGATATCGACGGAGAAAGGTTGAAAACTTTAACCTTCGATATCTCCTAAACGGTTAGAGATACAGGCTTCGGACAGGTACCAAATTAAAGCCCTTTCAAAACCCTACATTTTGGACTACATGGACGACTCTCTACTCCCAGTAGAAGCGGAGATATCGACGGAGAAAGGTTGGGAAAAACTTTAACCTTCGATATCTCCTAAACGGTTAGAGATACAGGCTTCGGACAGGTACCAAATTAAAGCCCTTTCAAAACCCTACATTTTGGACTACATGGACGACTCCCTACTCCCAGTAGAAGCGGAGATATCGACGGATGAAGACTGGATATCGACGGAGAAAGGTTGGAAAACTTTAACCTTCGATATCTCCTAAACGGTTAGAGATACAGGCTTCGGACAGGTACCAAATTAAAGCCCTTTCAAAACCCTACATTTTGGACTACATGGACGACTCTCCTACTCCCAGTAGAAGCGGAGATATCGACGGAGAAAGGTTGGAAAACTTTAACCTTCGATATCTCCTAAACGGTTAGAGATACAGGCTTCGGACAGGTACCAAATTAAAGCCCTTTCAAAACCCTACATTTTGACTACATGGACGACTCTCTACTCCCAGTAGAAGCGGATAGACGGAAATGATATCGACGGAGAAAGGTTGGAAAACTTTAACCTTCGATATCTCCTAAACGGTTAGAGATACAGGCTTCGGACAGGTACCAAATTAAAGCCCTTTCAAAACCCTACATTTTGCACTACATGGACGACTCTCTACTCCCAGTAGAAGCGGAGATATCGACGGAGAAAGGTTGGAAAACTTTAACCTTCGATATCTCCTAAACGGTTAGAGATACAGGCTTCGGACAGGTACCAAATTAAAGCCCTTTCAAAACCCTACATTTTGGACTACATGGACGACTCTCTACTCCCAGTAGAAGCGGAGATATCGACGGAGAAGCTGGATATCGACGGAGAAAGTTGGAAAACTTTAACTTCGATATCTCCTAAACGGTTAGAGATACAGCTGGACAGGACCAAATTAAAGCCTTTCAAAACCCTACATTTTGACTAATGGACGACTCTCTACTCCCAGTGAAGCGGAGATATCGACGGAGAATATAAGGCTGGAAAACTTTAAACTTCGATATCTCCTAAACGGTTAGAGATACAGGCCTGGTCTGGCACCAAATTAAAGTCCTCTCAAAACCCTACATTTTGCCGTAAGTGGCGACTCTCTACTCCCAGTAGAAGCGGAGATATCAACGCAGAAATGTTGGAAAACTTTAACCTTCGATATCTCCTAAACGGTTAGAGATACAGGCCTGGTTCTGGCACCAAATTAAAGTCCTTTCAAAACCCTACATTTTCGACTACATGGACGACTCTCTATTCCCAGTAGAAGCGGAGATATCGACGGAGGAAGGCTGGATATCGACGGAGAAAGGCTGGAAAACTTTAAACTTCGATATCTCCTAAACGGTTAGAGATACAGGCCTCGTTCTGGCACCAAATTAAAGTCCTCTCAAAACCCTACATTTTCGACTACATGGACGACTCTCTACTCCCAGTAGAAGCGGAGATATCGACGGAGGAAGGCTGGATATCGACGGATAACGGCTGGAAAACTTTAAACTTCGATATCTCCTAAACGGTTAGGGATACAGCCCTTGTTCTGGCACCAAATTAAAGTCCTCTCAAAACCCTACATTTTGCCGTAAGTGGCGAATCTCTACTCCCAGTAGAAGCGGAGATATCAACGCAGTAATGTTGGAAAACTTCGATATCTCCTATACGGTTAGAGATACAGGCCTGGTTCTGGCACCAAAATAAAGTCCTCTCAAACCCTACATTTTCGACTACATTGACGACTCTCTACTCCCTGTAGAGGCGGAGTTCTAGATAAAACTTATCTAGAATTATAGAACTTAGAAATCTATCTAGAACTCTAAAAAAATTGTCATTTTTTACATAATGAGGGGCGTCGTGAAGTTGGCCCTCCGATTTTTAAAATGGTATTTTCTCTACTTTAAATGACGGAACTCTTTCTATAAAGGATTGCGAACTCTAGAACTCTGCAAGGGGCATTCAGAACTCTAATAATTTTTTTCAAATTTGAAGAATGAAGGGTCATCTTCGTAGAGGTGATGGAGCGAACACATTCTCTCTCTCTCTCTTTAGCTTGGCTCGTCGAACAAGTCGAGCGATGGGCGGGGTCTCAGAGGAAGTGTCATCGACGAAACGTGCAATGCTTGCGATGCTCGTGTGTTGTATGCAATACGTGCATTTTCTTAAAAAATGAAAAAAAGTTTATTGTGATACACTTATGTTGTATGCAACACGTGCATTTTCCTACAAAACGAAAAAAAAATGATTGGCGAAAAAGGACAACGCCGACCGCCAAGGAGATGCGAACCACCGATCTCAACCCCGCGAGTCCAGCGTACTTCCACCAAGCCACACGCTCTTTGAGAAGCTCGCTCCTTCATTTGGTTCATGAATTACTCGTGATTTTCAATCGCGACTTTCTTACAAACTCTTCAATGCTACGCCGTATCTTTAAGTGCAATGTTAATTTGTCATGCAAATCTATCGACACAACGAGTTTTTGTCAAAATCGATTGCTGTTGATCATCTCGTTGGATTCACGCCGAGAGTGAAACGTCAGTCTCGGCCGTGTGTCGGGAAGCACAATCTCGGCAACGTTGCGAATCAGAGCGAGATGGAGAGAACACATTCCCTCTCTCTCTCTCTTTCGCTTGGCTCGTCAAAACAAGCCGAACGGAGGGTGGGATTTCAGACGGATAGACGGGAGCAGTTTCTCTGTGTGTGTGTGCCGACTACATTCTTACATAGAAACGTACGGCAATTGAAAATGTTTAAGCATATACCCTGAGATTCTATCTGTTGCATATGACACGTGTGTGTGTGTGTGTGTGTGTGTGTGAGTGCGTATATGCACACGTACGTCACGCACACTTTCAATGCAACACATGCACACGGACACAACTGCGCTAAAAAACGCCTGCCGGAGTATAAATAAATACTAACGTAACGCTGAAATATTTTGGAAAAATAATTTTGGGTACACACAAAATATTATCTTATTATCATATATTTATATATCGATATAAATCGTATATAATCTTCATGATATTAATCATATACAATCTCAATTCTTATTTTAGTGCATGTTAACATGTTCATGTTACAAATGCATAACAATGCGCGAGACCGTGCTTGTCAAGTACGCTATTGTGGTTGTAGCACGGACATAAACCGCCTGAGAGTGGATGTAGCACGAACAGCCACCAGATGCAGGTTTTACCGTCAAGACCTAAAAGTGGATGTAGCATCGTAGTTCCCCTCTCAAAATGGATGCAGATAGCGCCCATTCCCAGTGCGAAAAATCGGTGCCGCCGAAAACGCCGTGTTGGCCGCTCTCAGCTTCCTCTCTGGTAAAAGGCGTAGGTAAGATGCACTTTAAAGCTCGTACCACATCGTCTTTTGGAGATTGAGGACTGTGAATAGGAATCTAACGCTCGACCAATCGGGACAAAACGGGTTGAAATTAAGCTCTCACCCGATTGGCGAGATAAACGATAATTTATTATGGATAGATAGATATATCTATCTATCCATCTATCTATTTATCTATCTATCCATCTATCTGTCTATCTATTTATCCATCTATATCTATCTCTATATCTATCTATCTATCTATTTATCCATCTATCTTTTTTCTTCCTATGTATCATTCTAACCTATCCTGTTCTATCCATATTTCTTGCAAATGCAAACAATTAATATTACATTAATTTTTATATTAAAATATATTTTTTATACTATAACATGCTGAATTAATAATTAATAAAATTCAATAGGTTATACTATAAAAACAAACACTTACGTAAAAAGATTATTATATTATTAAAAAGTTTGCATTTATTTTTTGACGGAGATCACCATTTTCTCGCGGTTTCCGTTGAGCAACAATATGCACGTTATCTATTCGTAAAATTAAATAATAAAGTTGTAATTGAAATATGATAATAAAACTAATTTCTTCTTTTACTAGACTAAATTTATTTTTGCTACGAAAAGAAAAATGTAACAATGGAATATCTTTTACAAAACAAATAACATTTCATTTAATTTTTAATTTAAATTTATTAGCATAAATAAATTATTCTGTCATATACTTTAATAACAAATCATTTTTAAAAAATGTATATATTGGCTAAGAGTGAATTTCTATTAACTTTTCGTCTCTCATTATAATTCTCTCTTCTTTATTTGTGCATTAATACTAAATATTCTTTATATACATATACACTATATATGTGTCATTTATTTATATATATATATTGTCATGTAATTAATATATTTAACCAAGCCGTAAGAACACGAGAAGAGAGGAGAGCGAGCAAGTGCGCGAGAGAGAAAGAACGAGCGAGAGAGAGAGAGAGAAAGAGCGAAGTATAGGAGTAGCAAGAAAAATCTCGCGGCTCACGCAGTCAATAAGCTAGACGAGCGGGAAAGAAACAGATAATATGTCGACGCTCGTCTAGTCTCCTATGTGCTACCTCGCGTGCGTGAAAAATAATTCCTCGCTTCGCACGTTCCCTTGACACGAGACGCTACCGCGTTTTTTGATGTCTCTGGAGCGTGAAAGATGAAAGAAAAGCGGAGAGATGTTCGCTTAGCGATAAGATCGCTGCTACCTCGCCTCGTGTTTACTGCCGCGCGCCGCTCAGTAGTGAGACAAAGACGGAACGATTGTCTGTCGTCTGTCTTTTTCTAATTTACTATCCATTGCATGGAAGTAGTACGGACACGAACCTAGGCGCATTTTACTTTTATCACCGTGAAAGTGCACCTAGCGGACGTAGTTTAGGCGCATTTTGGTCAGATGGCGTATCTAAAATGCGCCTAGCCGTATCCCCCGAAATACGGCCGGTGGCCGCTTTCATTCTTCTCTCTGGTAATAGTATATATATGCTGTTATAATCGATATGTTTTTAAATGGTACGAAAGGGAGGAAGCACTGTTCGAATAGTACGGGCAGCTAATATATCCATTGTCATCACATTGCTGTTTTGCAATGTCTAATACACTCACGCCCTTCGTATATTGGGCTCAGACAGAGAGTCAAGTCACATTAAAAGTAGATTTGACTGATGTAAAGGTATGATATATATATATATATATGTTTAATCTATGTATATAGAAATATTTTTTTAATTTTACAAATATTTGAAAGCATATTTCAATAAAGTAATAATTTGATATCATAACATAATCTTGGTGAAAATACTTTACAGGATCTTAATGTTGACATACAGAATAATCTGCTGAAAGTTACAGCTTATGGACAAGGAGCTAGGGGTTGGAATAACTACAGTTTCAGCCTGAATCTTCATTCACCTATCAATCCAAATGTATATATAATGATACTGCACCAAATTAATTATATATATTTTATATATGGATTTATATTAGGAAGCTTATGTGTATCATTTATTACAGGAGAGTAATTATAAAGTAATCGATCGTCAAGTTGATTTCATGTTAAAAAAGAAGTCCAATGGTTGGTGGCCAAGATTAATAAGTTACCCACAGAAGCCTTCGTGGCTTAAGATTGATTTTGATAAATGGAAGAATGAAGACATGGATGATAATGAGGACGAAAAACGAGATATTTGTTACGACTATCCTGACACATTTGAAAAATTACTCACAGAAGAATTTGGATATAAAAAAGGTATATATTGTATAAGATAGTATTATCCAAATGATATTATGATGCTGTTATCATTGTCTTTACCTCTTTCTTTTCAGAAGAATATGCAAAAGCATATCTAGTCATATATAATATCTTCCAATTTGTTGGCTTTTTCTACGTGATTGCTGTAATGGGTATACGATTTTCACGGGATGGCCCAGGTATATTTACATATATTAAATTATATGCTTTTCTAGAACATCTGTACAAAAGATCTAGTCTCCGTCTCATTGAAAAAAACCCAAAGTATATAAAATATCATATTTTTTTCCAGATTCCATGACTGACACATATATGGTAGTTGGCAATCTATTCAAGTCTATACAGCTTTTACAATTTTTAGAGGTAATGCATCCTTTATTTGGATATACAAAAAATAGCTCACTTATATCTTTTATGCAAATTGGAGGCAGAATATTTATATTATTTTGCATGATTGATGCTGAGCCCCGTATCCAGAATAAACCCATTATTTTTTACCTATTTCTTATATGGAGTATGGTAGAAATTGTCAGATATCCATATTACATTACACAGCTATTAAATATTAAAGTATCCTTCTTAACTTGGTTGAGATATACATTATGGATTCCACTGTACCCATTGGGTTTCTTATGTGAAGGTATTATAATATTTCGGAACATTCCATACTTTGAAGAGACTAAAAAATTCAGCATCTTTTTACCAAATGCTTATAACTTTACTTTTTACTTACCATCTTTTCTGAGAATTTATTTACTCCTATTTTTCTTACCTAGTTTATACACGGTAATGAGTCATATGTTACAAATGCGCAGTAGCAAACTTAGAAATTCTAACATTAAAAGGGCATATACATAAGTACATCGTGGTTAGTTTTAAACTATATAATTGTAATATTGGTGATGTTTCCCTCTTTTTAATTAAATATTAAAATAATATATTAATATAATGGTATATAAAGCTATTTCCTCTAAAACAGTAAAATATCTTATTAACTGTAGATTCGTTATTCAATTTGTAATTTTTCTCAATAAAAATATGAAAAAAAATGATTTAAAATGGTCAAATAAGCAGCTACAATAAATTTACGAACTAGACTATTTATATCCTATAAATATAAGTATTGTCGAAAAAATTCTGTTGAAGGGAGTCATATTAAAAATAAGTTTTTAACTTGCGGTTGCTTGTAAAACTCGAGAACAGATTACCAGGTATGTAAATATGAAACCGGAATTTTTGTATAGAAAATACACGTTTATTGTATAAAAATGATGAAAAATATTTTATTTGAAATATTGCCCATCGCTAGCTATACATTTTTCCGACCTGTCTGACAATTTGTGGATGCCACACCAAAAAAACTGTTGCTCTTTTGAGGCAAACCGGTCATCGAACCATTTTCGTAAGAAGTGAAGCGCTGCTCAGCAAGTGCGTGTCCCATCGATGCAAATAAGTAGTGATCGGACGGAGTCAAGTCTAGTGAGTAAGCCGCATGCGAAAGTATTTCTTAACTAAACGTCTCAATCGTTTCCTTGACCAGTTTTGCTGTGTGTGATGGTGCATTATCATGAAGCAAAATCACTTTGTGTTGCCTTTTTTGATATTCTGGTCGTTTTTCACGCAAAGCTTGATTCAAATCGATCATTTGTTGTCGGTAGCGTTCAGTATTGACGGTTTCGCCAGGTTTTAGCAGCTCATAATAGATCACACCCTTCTGATCCCACCAAACACAGAGCATTGTCTTCCGTCCATAGTGATTTGACCTTGCAGTCGATGTCGATGGTTCGCCTGGAGTTACCCATGATCTTTTACGCTTAGGATTCTCAAAATATATCCACTTTTCATCGCCAGTCACAATTCGATGGAGAAATGACTTTCTTTTGTACCTGGCGAGCAGGATTTCGCCGCAAGTGGTTTTTCGGTTTTCCTGCTCGGTCCTGTTTTCGGTTTTTCGGCTGTCTTTTATTCAGTTCATGTGGAACCCATCTTCCCATCTTCTGGATCTTTCCCATGGCTTTCAAACGTATGGCGACGGCTTCTCGTGACACATTTAATTGATTCGCGAGTTGTTGTTGCGTTTGAGCGTCATTCTCATCCAACAATACTTGCAATTCGCTGTCTTCAAACTTTTTCGGTGGTCTTCCACGTTCTACGTTTCTCACGTCAAAATCGCCATGTTTGAATTTTTTAAACCACTCAAAGCACTGTGATTTACCAAGAGCATGCTCGCCGTAAGCTTCGACAAGCATTCGATGCGATTCTGCAGCAGTTTTCTTCAAATGGTAACAGAAAATCAATGCTGTCCGCAAAGCGTAGCTTCCAGGCGCAAAATTCGACATGTTCAACGCTATTACAAACTATGCTGTTGTATGGAACTCGTATTATTGTGAGTTGAAAATCTTTGTCAGATGTCAACAAATGGAAATGGCGCCAATGACGCGGTTTGATGGTAACTACGGCTGCGTTCCGAAATTCACTGCCAGTACTGAAAATACATAGTTTGTGTCACGTATACTATAGAATTTCAGTGCTGGCAGTGAATATCGGAACGCAGCTTACATTGATAGCTAGGGCCATCTATGGGCAAATTCCGGTTTCATATTTACAGACCTGGTATTTATATCCTATAAATATAAGTATTGTCGAAAAAATTCTGTTGAAGGGAGTCATATTAAAAGTAAGTTTTTAACTTGTGGTTGCTCGTAAAACTCGAGAACAGATTATATAACTTACTATCATATTGCGGTAGTTTATTCAAATAACGTCCTTTGAACGAATATGCAATAAAAAGATGAGATAACATCACGCATATACTTGTATCTCTGCCACGCTCCCTCTGAAGCGTGGTCTACAATGGCAATAAGCAGTAAGAAGTAAGCGTAAGCGGTAAGAAATAAACTAATCACAGTCGATTATGACAAAAATAATCAACTGTGGTTGGTCCATTTCTTACTGTTTACGCTTACTTCTTACTGCTTACGGCCATTGTAGACCACGCTTTTCATTCTCGTGTCTTGCAACCTTACAGCCTTATACCTCGTCTACAAGAAGTCCAGAAGTCATAGAGTCGTAAGTCGTACAAATTGACCAATCGCGGTCGATTATTTTTCTCTTACCGGACTATGATTGGTCAATTTCTACGACTTACGACTCTACGCTTCTATTGTAGACGAGGTATTAGTGCAGCCAGTTCAGCAGTAGAAAACAAACCTTGTATTTCAGTGGTATCGAATTACACACCAATTTATGGCTGCGTTCCGATATTCACTGCCAGCACTGAAATTCTATAATATACGTGACACAAACTATATATTTTTAGCAGTGGCAGTGAATTTCAGAACGCAGCATATATAGACCTTTAAAAAGCACTTACAACAGAAAAATGGCGTGTGAGAACTATACACCCATATTCATAGACTGCGTTCCGAAATCGACTGCCAGTACTGAAAATATATAGTTTGTGTCACGCATACTATAGATTTTCTACTATAGAATACTGGCAGTGAATTTCGGAACGCAGCCATAGTCAGGCTTTATATTTATAAGACTTCCTTAAGTTTATCTTCAGATGGTTTGTAGCCAATAAAATAATCCATGGAGCATCTAAAGATGGATATAAGGAGGTCTCAAATATAAGGTCTGATTATGAATACGGATAATAGTCTTATAGTTCGGAGCCAGATATAGAACCAATCAACCAAACAACTAATGTTGCGTATCAGTAAATTGTGTATCTTTTTATATTTAGCAATTATTTGAGGAAACATCAGGGTGTCACTGCAGCAAAATGATGTCATTACAATATATGAAAAATGTATTAAAATATGACTCAGAAAATTATATCGAAAATGAGTTTTAATTTAATGTTCTATTATAACCTATCTATAACGATAAGATGCGTATTATTTTATGAATAAATGATTATTTTACGTTGGCAATTCTTAGGTTTTAACTATCGCTCAACAATCCCTCACAAGAAGACATTTCCATGCAAGTGCGATCGTCAATAAATCCCAATCTGGATGTTATAAAGTAACAGTCAAAAAAGATAGACCACTGACGTATGAAATGGCAAATCCACCTCATTATATTGCTCACAGAAAGTCTTGGAATTCTTGGAACACTTGTAAGTATGCAACAAATCTGCTTCTTCATTCCTTACCCATCTTTATGGTATGTATTATTTCTTTTTTTTTTCAGCCAACATTAAGGATGGCAACAGACCATCTGAAACAGCTGTAGAAGATTTATTCATTCGATATTTTATGAAAGGTACTTGGCACAATTTGTTTGCTAGTGAAGTCATCATTAAACGGCAGCACAATATCATTAGGATAGCTGGAATCATCACCCGTACGATAGCACCTACCAAAATATATTTCTTAACTGGTTACACAGAAGAGTTCCTAAGCTTTTGGCTACAATGTCCCATTAAATTAGAACTGGTATCAACTAATAGCCATAAAGATGTAATATTTAAATATATATAAAATATAAGTAATGTAAAAAAATTAGGGATTTGTGTACTATTGCAATATTTGTTATGGTTAATTTTGCGCAATACACAATAAATTCTGACATGATATGTAACGTGACATTGCTTTGTTATAATTTAACTGTCATGTATACTCAAGTAGACATTATTAATTAAAATATATATGATAAATATGCACATGAAGAATAAGTGTACACGTGTAACATTTGCAATTGCCAATACTTTCGACGAATGAAGGTCGCGAACGGTCTTGAAGTTTCTCACTGTGTGGAGGAGAACTGAAAGAAATGACAAAGAAGATTGCCTCGTGCTTGTTTTATTCCTTGCACTTATCTTCCATTTATTTTGCATTACTTATATAATAAATCGTTACATTCGGTCATGACTCAAACGCAGCCCATATACAATCATTGCATCTTCAATAAAAAGAGAAATTATACAGCACACCACAGAAGGAGGGAGGTTCTTTGTCCGGGTGAAAAACTGAAAGGATATTCAAAGAGCAGACTCGACGGAGCGTTCGAAACTCGTGTGATATACAGTCGTAATAATTTTACATTAATTCTCTATTAGACCGCACTCTCTCTCCTTCGTTTCTTTATTTTTTTCATTTTCGTTTCTTTTTTTTCTCTTATGCCTTTGCAACTTCTACATTTTTCGTTCAGCCATTCAATCAGGACCGTGTATAGCTGCTACATTTGTACTTTTTATTTTTCTCGTGTTTCATTGTGAATATATTTTATTCTCTATGTGAGTGTCCGATAAGAGGAAAAATGCTATTTACTTCATGTCCACGCTGATAACTCGCCTCCTCCGCCTGTTCCGTACATCGCGATCCGGATACTGTTGTTTAGCATCCGGGTATTGTTATTTAGCCCCGGTAGTGCTTGTTCGTTGTCTCGAATATTATTCAAAATGACAGACAGACAGCCGAGTATGGAAATTCTATTTGATTTATATCGACAGATGTAATCGCAGAATCGGATGCGTACCAAACTCGAGACAGAAGGATACGTATATATATATGCCGATTGCAATTAAACAATTAACAGTCGCGAATTCGATTTCGAGCGCAAACATAACAATCTCTCGTTCGTCAATCAAGAGTGTACCTTTACTTCGCACGAGGATCAAGCAATCAAATCTCGTCCACGACGAGAAATGCCGATACTACCCTTGGCACTTCCGTTGGCAGATGAGTGACAGTATATTTTTTTTCGAAGAGAAAAAGAGAGAGAGAGAGAGAGAGGAAGAGAGATAGAGAGCCTACACGAAACCTGATTGAATCCGCGAATTTTTAAGCGCTGAGATGTAATTGATCTTACGACGGACGCAACAATTGTGTTCCAAGGTCTACGACGTTTTTTTTTTGATCGCTCTTTTTATAAAAGTACAGGCTGAAATGTGCTGTGCTCGTCTTATTCTTACAATATACTAGTGTAACTGTATATCCTCTTAACTATGGAAGTCAAAGTATGACGCTGTATCACACAATACCCACGTGGAATAACAAGTCGCGAGCGCTTTCTCCTCCTTCCCCCCTCCCCCGCGCCACTCTTCGAATCAACGTGAAATTAACGCGGGCCGAGTCTTACGTCGCGCTTCCCTCGGCTATATAAAAATTTCTCGGCGCATCACCGCGATATGCTCATGGGTGATCCTCTCTCTGACTGAGGATCCTCTTGTTTCTAATCGGATGCGGGCGAGCGAATGTGCGTCGTGAGCAAAAGAATTGAAATCCCCGCCTCCTGTGACTCCGTTGATTTTCTGTCGACGAGCCGTTTTCGAATTTAAGACCGCGCATTATTACACGCCAGATTGAGCGTACAGCGTCCTCCTCATTTATGTTTATGCATACATTGTTATCCTTAAGTTACGATCCTAATCGTACATTATTAATCGAAATTATATCGAGAGTATTACGCTAAACATTTCAAGCGATAGAACACAGCGTTCACATTGTACAAGAGACTTGAAAAAAGAGAAATCATTGCTATCTCCACCATCGATTCCAAGTAAAAAGACCTACTTAACATTAAAATAATATCTAAGAGAAAGAGAACCAAGAGAAGAGACCGAACGCGTTGCTGATGCCGTCGCCGCCGCCGCCGCCGCCGTTGTCGTGTAAAGATGGTAAAAACACACACAAAAAAAAACGAGAAAAATCACTGATATTCGGAGAGAAGAGAATGCGCGAAACGCACGCACGTTACCCGAGAACCTCTCACAGAAGTTGGAAAAACGGTGCTCCCCCCGTCGCTAGAGCGCGACTGGTGGAGCAATTTAGCGGCTTGTCCCGACAACGTATAGAGATAAGGATTACGCTACTATTACACGCTACACAGAGTTTGATGAATCCTCGTTGACGCACACCGGCTGGTTCATTCGCTCGACACCTCGGATACCGGCGGGCAACATTAGTTTGCTTATCCTCGACGCGAAATCGCGAGAGAGCGAGTTCGAATTCTCGGGGAATTTCGTTTCACAGAACGGGGGCTCCTCGATCCTCCCGTCGGGGTGGTTCTTCGCGAGTAATGTTCTTTTGAACATCCTCAACATTCTTCTGACACACGCGAGACGTTACGAAGAGAGCTAATTCAATCGCGAAGTCTCTCGAGTTGTCGGAATATTATTACCGGTAAGAAGAAAAGGGAATTAATCGGTTGTGTTCAATCGAAACGTGCGAAACGCACCCCGAGGACTCCGCATGGATCCTGGCTCGAGGGATTCCCCTGGTTTTTACGGCCCATGCAGATACGATGCGATTAATTACGAAACTACACGCGTCTCACTGCGTCCCCTCCGCAAACACGTAGTCGCGGTTCTGAAAGGACAGTGCCACGAAGAAATGCGTTCTCGAAGAAGATTGGCACTTTTTCTCACACACACGCACAATTTCCTTTCCCTTCCTTTTCGTACAAAAAAATGGAATGGAGGCGTTCATGCGACACACAGTTGGCGCCGTTGATTAAATAAATCGCTGTCTTTTTACAAAATTGCCGCGACCATTACGGGTCGCGGTATCTACGGTATGACTTCTCCTACGGATATGCGCGCGAACCAAGATGGAAAATTAGTATCTGTGTTTCTTCCTTCGGTTTTTCGATATTTACAGCACGACCGAGTGCACAAAGAGAGACGTGAAGCAAAGACCTACGGGACAGAGAAAGAGAATGAGAGAAGCGAAACGAGGGAGAGAGAGAGAGAGAGAGAGAGAGAGAGAGAGAGAGAGAGAGAGAGAGAGAGAGAGAGAGAGAGAGACAGAGAGAGAGAGAGAGAGAGAGAGATAAAATGACGTATAGGCCTGTGAAGCCTACCACCGACGGTTTAAGAGCACTACGAAAGATTCCTTATTGAAAGATCCGTTGAATAATGTAAGGACAGTTCCTGGGACCGTCCCACTTATTGTCAAGCTTAGATAAGTATCTTACTCCTCGCGAGTGACGTCACTTATCGTCGTTCACGTGATTGAGAAACGAAAAGTCGCCAGAGAACTGATCGTAAAATCGGCGAACATATCGCGAACAAATTTCTTGTTAACTGACTTTTTAACTGACAGACAGAGAAAGACGGAACACACACTGTGCCAATTTCATGTTGCAGAACTGGCATGTCCTTCAGAATTTACAATTTATGTACTTGGCGTCGTGGCACTGCTACCGTGCCATTCGATATGCAATACGCTAAATAATATTTAACGCTACGCGGATGCCGCTTAATTACAGAGAGATCGCTAAGACAAACCGCTAATTCGTTAGATGATTCAATCATGAGGCGAAATCGACTGCATGATCGATCGTCTCAGGACGGGCGGCCATGTTTTCGTAAGGTGGAGCGTCTCCTTCCTCAAAACGCGCTCACGGAGAAGAGATTGACGGGATCGACGTGACAACGAACGAATCAAACGCGTTCCGCTCGAAGGGAACGGGACTTCTGGCTCTGACGGGACAAATTCTACAAATTCTGCTCCTGCAAACCAGAAAGCCCGTCTTGCTTCTGCTGTGTTTATCGTCACGTCGATTCCGCCAGTTCCCTTCGCTCCATTTTCTTCGTCTTCATCGACAAGGATCCGGCCCGTTTCCCGCCGCGTAAGACGATCGCGGCTGCAATCGACCTGTCTCTCAAGCTGTACAGCTAAAATCTACTTTAGCGCGCGTTATTTCGACACGATATGCGATATCTAGGGTCGTGTTTAATCAGGATCGTGATTATTATGTTTGTTAAAGTTACGAGTTCACGAGCGCGCCTCGCGGACGAGCCGTTGCCGCGCGACGGTATCCCGGTCTGTGAGATCTATTCTATCGTCAGGGGACATTCATAGAGTCGGGAATCACGTTTAAACGCTGCCCGTCTCACGAAAATCCTCGAGTGTCCTTCGAGCTTGAATCGCGTGAGACGCGGTAAAGTTACAAACGGGATACTCCCGACCGCAGCGGATCGCGCGAAGCGCGCTTTTCATCAGTAGAAAAAAATTATGTACAATTCTCGCTGGCCGGCGTCGCGATTCGAGAGAGAGAGAGAGAGAGAGAGAGAGAGAGAGAGAGAGGGGAGGGTGGGAGAGAAAAGGAGAGAGAAAATGAGAGAAAAGGGGAGAGTCCGGGGTAAAATTTCAGTTGGACACTTCCGAGACGGCCGCTGTAGAGACTTTTGCACACCTGGAGGTGAAAGAAAATTTTCGCTATGACGCAGCGATGATTCTCGAGTCGAACGTCAAATTAAAGGAGAGATCTGCTGTCTTTTTCTTTCTTTGCATGCTTGCCTAACTCGACGAAATCCGAATTGGAAGATCCGTCTCGAGAGAGTCGATTTGGGATTCATCAAACGCTTCCGTTACAGTACATGTGCACGATTCCCTTAACGTCGTTACTACGTGTGTATATTCGCGTGTGTGTGTGTGTATGTGAGTGCGCATGTATACATATATGACTCTGTGTGTGTGTGTGTGTTTGTGTATGCCATGCAGAAGTAAACGAGAGAACACGTTAATATAATCCTAATGTAAGATAACGTTTCTGCGTAAAATTTCTCACGACGATCCCGCGACCGACCCTCGCAATCTTCTCGCGGTGAAAAGTCTCGCGTGTCGAGAGCGCGCGATCAAATGATTCTCACTGAACTGCGACAGCGTTCCGAAAGAAGAACAGCGATCTCGGAAACGACGTGACAGCACGAGTGGTGATTCATATTGTAACGCTGCTGATTGACGCCGAATTTGCACAACCGATGTCGACTCGTTTGCATCTCAGACGCTCCTAAGAACCGTCTGACGCAACGTCGTTAAATTGACACCCACAAGTGGATGAACCGAAATGACAGTTGCATTCGAGAGCAATTCGCCAACGGGTGGAGTCTTTCGGAATTTTGTCCGCGAGAAAATAGTCCTTCCTTTTTCTTTCGCTGCAAAGCTGAAACGTCGTTTCGCGGTACCGCCGCGTTCACAAGTGGCGACCGGAATGCTCGTGAGAGTCCATAACAGAGTACATATTATCCAAATCTTCTCGAGCTTCTCCGTTCGCCTCAGACAAAGAGCTAATATATCCGTAATGTTATATACTATGGCGTAGGCTTCGCGCGCGCGAGAGCCGAAATGCATGTGAGCGCGTCATATTCGTCGCTCCAGCAACTCCACCGCCTCTCGTTCTCGTTCTCCTCGCGGACGAAGATGTACGTGTGCTAAAGTGCGAGAGAGCGCTTCATACATATGTCTCGATATACATCTTCGCGAACGATCGCAAAGGATGAGCGAGTGGATCGCGCTCGTGTCCTCTTTTCTTGTTACGTTACGCGAAAGTCGTTTTGATTTCTCGCGTCGCCGGAGAACGATCGGACAGGCTCTGCCCCGCTGTTGCATTTTCCTCACGTCGCACAATATTACACAATTAATCCTTACATTTACCCCTAAAACGCAAACGCATGTCCACGTGTCGGAAAAAAAGAATCGAATGGTGATCGACGCAAACGTATACACTCGTGTTCTGTTTGCCTTTTTCCCTTCCCTCTTCTTCTTGTCTTTCCTCTTTTTGCATCCGCTTTACGCTCCTGCTAGTAGATAAGAGATCATCACGGAAAGTGAGCTTCGCCGAATGTAAGCGATGAAAATACCCATGCGATCTCGAAGAATACTGGCATCGGCTGAGATATATTGGTGGCTTGCGCATCGTGTTATCTTTCTCTTTTTTGGCGTTTCATCCCGAGCGTTCGGTAAAAAGAAGAACAATTTTGCAAAAAAATCGCGTGTCCGAATGTTTGATTGTCCTCGATGGAGGAAGCACTTCCAGGGTGCTGCCCGAATTTGATCGCCATCAAGGTCACCGGGAGATCTCGCGTTTGTAAGTGACATAGGTACTTTCACCACGAAAATACATGTTGACACTTGCTATTTTTTAAGAGTTCAAAAAACCATATTATAAACTGTTCGCTAATTTCCTCGCTACGTGATACATCACGTAATGCTTAAAAAGAGGAGCGAGTTAAAAACGATCGTTATCATGCGCTTTCTTCTTCTTCTGTCTGTTTTGTTCTTTTCTCATTTTGCTTGTTACGGAGCCCACTTCGGACGATTTATGATTTGCGACGGCATTCGAAACGGAATCGTCGTCTCAAAGTTTCAGCTGTCGCGCTTATTCGTTTCTCGAAAATGGGGGACTAGTTAGAACCGGGCGTTGAATACAATTTTTCCTCGAGTGAATGCAATTTTTCATCGCATTAAAATATTTTACGGAGATTATTCCGAGTATATTTCTTTTGCAATAGTCGTTTTAAAATAAATAACCAAATAAACTTGCCAATATATTTCTCAATGCGTGCTTCGTCACCTAGTGACCTAGTTTGAAGCGCATTGTCCACGTTTATTGCTCACTGTATGCGTATATTACAAGAAATTCTATCGCGAATTACAGATCGTCCGCAATGTGGGCTTATAATGCAAGACAGCATAAATAAAGATTCTCTCCAAGTCCGTCATCGTCATCGTCGAAGAGAGACCGTCGTCGTGATCTCTTCTATTCGGGTTATTCGCATTTCGAAATTAGGCCCGAAGTAACCGGCAATCGATGATGACTTTGACACGTCATGTCACAAAGATGTCGGCTGGACATGTGTCGCTCGCTTACCGTGTTTAAAAACACGCTTAATATACGAAGGAATATACAAATATATTTTTATATATATGTATATGTATGTATAAGTATTTTTATACTTTATATATACATATATATAAATATGTATGTATGCATGTATATATATATATATAGATGCGAAGATGCTATTTCTTTCGCCAGAGGATATAATAATTAAAACTAATTGCCTACTTTATATTATTACAACATTTACTACACAGATGTCTTTGACAAAACTAATCACTTACTACTTGTATAATTCAGTTGACGGGACTGCACATGACACGCGCAAACCCCCGCAAAACCCCCGAATAGATATTTCCTTAAATTCTTAATTATCGATTGTGCCGTACATAAAGAGATCGTTTGCTATATTGCTATGATATTCGTAAAATATTTAAGAATTATAGTATGTGTATAAACTTACGTATATTCCCGATGTATTTCGGTGTCGTTTGTGTGTCGCGTTGGTGTTATCTCGTACTTTATGAGTGTTCTATCAATGAAAAAAAAAATGTGTGTGTGTGTGTGTGTGAGTGTGTCAGTAATCGTATCTTTTTATCATGCTACAGACATGCAAAGATCCTTTTCGTAAAAAGCAAAAAAGAAAAAAAAAGAACTATTGTGTGTCCTAGAAAATTATTTCGCGAGGAAAGAAAAGAATTTATACACATGATCGCGAGAATTGCGCGAGTACAAAGTAATTACTCTCTATATCTTTACGAGGACGTCCCACAGTTAATCCGGATAGTTTGGAAAGAAATTATGAAACAACACAACACGAAGCATCGTGTCAAGATTTGTAATATTACGCGAAGTATATTACGCGAATCGTATAGCATCTAACAAATTTTTTCACGTCTTGCCTTCAATTCTCTATCCGGAGAACAGAGTAATAAACGTACGTACGTAAATTGCAGTCAACATAAAAAACAACGTATCATTGTCATATTTACAACATACATATACAAAAAAATTATATCTCATATATCTATAGTACATTCGAATACCGATAATCGCTTCGAAAGATAAGAATCGAAGAATGAAATTATATACAGCGATATCATAAACGTATATCGAGAGCTATTCTTTCTCTCTCTTTCATTTCGCTTCGCGCACCAAAAACCGTCGGACGAGTCCATTGCAAAAGAAAGACCGAGGCGTGAGGTGTTTAACAGCGCGCTGTCTAAAGTATATTTGCACTGCGTACTAAATGTAATCATTGCGATTTCCGTAGCGCTCTGTCATACAACACAATCCCGATACTAGTCTTTCTGTAAGTGCGCGCATCCTACACGATAACTAAGATAATTAGAATCTACATTTTGGTAGTTGCGACTAATGTAACTGCACGTTTGCAAGACGATGAAGAGAGGTACGACAAAGCGAGAACTCGTAGAAAAAGAGGAAAAGAAAGGAAGAAAAAAAAAAGAGAAAAAGAAAGAGAAAAATGCGGTACGATCGCAGCGGGTCAGCGGTTCGAGCGCGGTCAATTTGTGCGCAGGTTCCCCTCTCTCGTGGCAACTGAATTAACAAGTAGTGGTGTTTCTCCTGACGCGGTAGTACAGAGCACATACATTAATAATCCGAACCGAACGGACATACCTATAAGTATGGGCGAAGATGTCGACTGATCTCGCGCGACGTTATGACGGACGTGTGTGTATGTGTGTATTTGTGTCTGGGATGATGAACATCGTTTACATTATCGTTTTACTTACAAATACACCCGCTACAATATTAACTACGCTCTCGTCTTCTTATATAACATTATCGTATTATCAATATATACGTGGCCAATAAGAACAGATTTGTACTTGCATTGAAATTGTTTAAGTCAACTCCAATCACTTCGCACAGCCCAGTATAGCATGTAGTTTTTCGTATTTTTTTCTCGTTTGCTTCGCGTTTCGTTTAAAAATACAATTTTTTTTTCTTTTGTCTCATTGGATGGCAGCATTCTTATCAAAAGGTTTAGTTTGGAGGATGTTGTAATGACATTTAGGAAGGGAGTTAGGGGAGAGGGGAGGAAGGAGGGAGGGGTTCTCTGTCTGCTAAAGGGTCTTGTGTGTGTGTGTGTGTCTCTCTCTAGCAAGACGCTAAGTTTTTCTGTTGTGTGATAAACACGTGAATAATTGTTCCAATTGCGTTTAAAATGTCGATATCACAGAGGCTTTTCTTGAATCGGAATATTCGTCGTCGTTTCCTCTTTTCCTCCTTTCGCGTTTTTTTTCATCTCTCGTTTTATATAGGAAAATAGGTATCTACATATTAGTGATGGTAAGTTAGAGAGGTCACGATGCTCTTTAGGCGTGGGAGAGTTAGCACTTTTTTAAAAATGCAATACACTATACATGGGCTAAACGCATTACAACACGGCTCCCTTCACCTGGTCGTTAGAATTGTGTATCTCGTCTGATCCGGCCGTGCACCGGATCGACAACGTGTCGATTGCCGAGCGTGCGGCAATGTATGGAGTATTTTGCGTGTACATGTATACGTGTGTAGTGGTATGTAATGTATGCGCGTACATATGTGTCTGTGTGTAATGTTCGCTATTGTAGAATAATAGTCGACTGCGAGTGATATTGCTAGAGCCAGAAGTAATAGAAGTGATGCGAATCCTTTTTCCTTCATCCTCGTCGTTCCTCGTTATTGATTTATCGTCTCTTGACGGTTACTTGGGCCTAGATCGCAGCGGCTGCTACCTGCGTGAGATCAAACCATTGCTTGTTCCTACCGTTGGTGTCATCTCTAGTTCCACTAACAGAGGAAAGTGATCTGCGGGGAGGAAAAAGTCACCATCGAAGCTATTTCTTAGTGATATATAATTCGCATTTACTGGTACAAATTCTTGCACAGCGATAGTGTAGCATCTCATCGCGGAGAAAATTCGTTTGCAGAAGGAACTTACCAGATGGTACATGAGGATGGGGACATCCTACAACCTTGTGCTCTCTAAACCACTCTTGGCTAAGCGGACCTAAGAGTCCCAGCGGTACCATGCTTTGTTTCGAGTAGAAAATGTAATCTATTATGCCTTTGAATTCAAATCTGAAAATGCGACACGGACCTTCAATTAAATAGCTCAGTGTATTACGTACGTATATGTACGCGCACATATATTGCAACGAAATTAATTCAACTTCGACGATGACACTGTTTTTATTCTCTTTTTCGTGTAATATAATAGTAAATAAATATAATAAAATAAATATAAATAAAATAAACGTATACGTGCTTTGGATAATATTTTGGATAAGTAAATGGTATGTGTAATAGAAATATACTCAAACTAAACTAAATACACCAAATTAAACGAATCGCACTTACGTATAATTGGTATAGGGCATGATGTCTTCGCTATAGGCAGATGCAAGCTTGAAGGAGTGCGTAAATTCGTTAGGTTTGTCGCAGCCAGAGATCTTTTGTAAACACGATTTGTATGCTAAGTCCTTAAAATCACGATGATCCGCCGCTACACGACCGGACGTAAGAAATTCAATCACTCCTGTAAAATTAGACGATATTGTAATGAATTGGCATATCGCTAGATAACTATGCTTGTGCGTTAGATGTATAAGTAATTATATATAAATATATAATTGAATATATATATATATATACATATTTAAACACATTAAACAATGTATAAATATTTGAGAGAAATGAAATAAGCGCGTTACCGGAATCAGGTAAGGAATTGAAGTCGCCGCAAAGCAACAGTTGAACGTTGGAAGAGTCAGGCTTGTGGCCAGGTCGGAACGACTGGCCAGCTTGGTCCAAAATGGAACGTAATTCATTGCTCAGCATCATCGTTTGTATCAGTTTTACGTCGCAGTACTCGGGATCCCAATGGATGTGTGCCGTGCAAACTAAAATCGGTTGTTGTACCTGTGCTGGATCAGATGGAACACCTACAAGAAATAATTAGAGATTGTGTTCAGACTTGTAACACAGAGCATGTCCCACAGCTCGTAGACTTAATTTCAACGTGACAGATTCTTTGTCTAATTTAGTTTCAAAATCAGTGAGTCAAGAGTTGCGGGACAGTTGCATGTCAAACAGTTGAAAAAATTTTGAGACAAATTCTAAATGAACCCACCTTGATACGGTTGGTTATAAAAAAAAATATATGAAGTAACAAAATGCAATGCTCGCAATGTTGCTTTTTGAGTATGTTTAGTGAAAGGTATTTGGGCAATAAAATCAAAACGACGTGCAAGTATCATATACTTTATTTAGAAATGTATAGCAAATAACTTAATCTAACACTTATATCGATGCTTATAGCAAATGTTTGCATTGTTTTCTTCTTTTAAATGTAAGCATATTTTTCCTGAAATATCCTTACGTAAATAATTTCGAGAATTATTTGAGATATGAGAAAATTAACCAATTATGTATCTCTCCAATCTCAGTAATACAGCTCGTTATTAATAATATAACAACGCGATATTTATTTATTATCTGTAAATTTGAATCGTGAGATCTCTTCCGCAGATAAATTAAAATTATTTGTAAACTATTATATTGAATTAGTACCAACTCGTCTATCTAAAAAAAAAAAACGTGTCTCCTATGAAAAGATTTGAGAAGTTAATTAAAACAAAATCCTATCTAAATTATAAATTTCTTTAACTTTGTATCTGCTCCCTTAAAATATAATTATCAAGGTGAATACGCCATAAAGGAGCAGACATGGATACGCTATGAGCAGCTGCTGGTCCTGCTCTCCAGACATTGTGGAGAAGAGCCTGGATGCGGACAGAGCTGCCCAAGCGACAGCCAAAATCGCAAAGACCAAACCGACCGGGCCACGCAACGTGGCGAAAACACTGAAGCCGGCCAGCACGACGACTGGCAAGAGGCAATAACCCAACACAGACGCGACAGACGACAAGGTAACGTTACTGTTGGTACTCATCAATGACTGTAAAATGTACATAAGTATACAGGAGGTCAAAGCCAGGCCATATACATAGCCAAAGTGCGCTTTCGAGCCTGCCAGTAGGAGAAATGCGGCGAGAAACAGGCAGAATGTCACTGGTCCTGCGAGATCTGAGTCCTGCAGCAGATAATTCGCATCATCAGTCTGCCCTCTCCTATGGAAGGGATTTAATACAGCCAGGGTCTTTTGCATTATCCTGTCGGGGTCGATACCAAGTTCTTCCAAGAGAGGAGGTTCATCTTCCTCGTCACCAAAGCCAGTGGTGCCTGCAAGAGCGCTGTTAATGCTTCCAACTTTCATTACACGATGATCTTGACATCGCGATCCTCGAGCAGACGTCCTGGCATATCAGAACAAAGCTTTGAGCTCGTTATTGGAGAAACAAGGGGCGCGCTGCATGCGCCACGCGAGCGATTGCGTACTCCGCCAAGTGTTTCAGCTCGAGGATCGGACAATCGCGACAAGGTAACGTGTCTCAACCTTTGCCATAGTCATCCTGCGTGAACATGTCGCCGCTATATGGACTTTGCGTGGGGTCCAGGAAGCTCTTTTGCGAGTTCGGATAATCGCCAAACGGCTGGTCGCCGTACGGTTGGAAGTCGAATTGTTGGTTAGGTTGCTCAAAACCAGGCGATTCAAAGAAATACTGACTCTGGGACTGCTGACCCTGCGGCGGTTGCGCCCAGTAATTGTCCTGGCCCGTGTATCCGGACATCCTGCTGGTGTATCAGCTTCTTATGGATACTTTAAACACTCGTGTCTCTTCTCATGTATTCAACTCAAGATTCGACACATTGAACGTCACGAATCGTTGACAGAGAAGGTTGGGTTAAATCGAGCTAATTGCTCGCTGGATAACAGCGAGCATAAAGTTACCGACGCGATGATATCTATCGGTTTGCGGATTTTGTCACAGTGGCGTTACGCGAGCGAGCAATTGCGAAGAACGCAGGACGGACGGCGGAGGCGGAAAGTGGACAAAGGCTCAAAAATTGGATCGAAAGTGCGATTAATTGCGTAGATGTGTGATTGATTAGTGAATCCGTCGGATGCAGAGACGATGCGCTGTTCATCGCACCAAAAGTTTATCCTTGAAAGGTAAAAATGCATGTAATACGTTGCCGTGACAAAAGCGCGCAAATTTACCGCAATAATGGCGGACAAAGATTTTCAACTCAGTGGTGCGATTCTATAACTCGTTATTGGAGTTAACGACACTTTCGTTATCGCGTTGCGCAGCTTTTGTATACCGTAGAACGAAACTGTCGTGAACTCCAATAACGAGTTACAGAATCGCACCACTGAAGTAGTCAGGTGTTGAAAAGGAGGTAAGAAAGAACGTACTGACGTTTTACAAGTTTCACAAGTTATATCAGACTTATGTTATATTTAAACGTCAGCTCGTAATTTCGTATGTTTTGTCTCGTTTTCAAGACATTCTGAATAAAATGAATCGTGTAATCGACGGTTAAATTAATTGCTCGTCGATTAGCGCGGACGATCGTCGAGAATAAGTTCGGCGGCAATATCTCTTTATTATCAGCATAAACGTTATTTTTGGCGATACGAGTCGCGCGTTGTTGGGTCGAAGTATAAATTCGACGCAATGACCATCGAGTACGGATTTGTCAAAATAAAGTCGTCGTGGAAATTGGCCGCGCGCGCTGACCTCGATCTCCCTCTCGTTGTTAATTGCGAGGGCGATTAAGGTGAAACGAAGCGGCGGCACGAAGTTCAATCAAGTTATCGGTACACACAATTAGGACATTCATCAGAGTTAAAGGAGTGTAAATTCCGAATCCCCCATTCGGCCGGCTCGGCCTGTAATAAGGCCCGTAAATTAGCCCCGCTGATGCTCTTCGTTGCGCAATTGCGCCTTAGATTAATGCTGTATTTATTTTCCGTGGCCGATAAATCCTCGCGGTCGGCCGAGCGAGCGAGCAAGCGAGAGAATCGCCCGACTTGGAAATACTCGGTCGCAACAAGTTGGCGTGGGACGGCGCACAAATGAAAGCTCGTTTACCGAAATGTGTCGACTCCGTATTTTCCGAAAGCGGAGATCATCCCGCACGGCATCCCGCGGAGTCTTATGGCGTACAATCTTCATTTTCTAAAATATAGATTCGAGATCTCTTCAAACGCGCGGAGAGGAGTAATGATATGATGGGCGGATCGATTCTTTGAATCCCTTATCCGAGTCGCGATCAAACTTATCGTAATTTTGCCGCAACCATCGGCATCGCAGTTACGTTTACTACGAACAATCTTCTCGCGTGCGCGCGCGGTCATTATTCTCTCTCTCTCTCTCTCTCTCTCTCTCTCTCTCTCTCTCTCTCTCTCCCTCGGCTGAATCGAGAAACGGATATATCCCTCATACTTTCCGTCGATCTCGAGGCATTTCAACAACGACCGCCCTGCGTAGGGTTCCCCGTGCCGGGCGAGTATATATGATATCTCGCAGCATGGTGATTCAGCCTTTATGGCGTATCAATTCACTCGCGACTTAAGTAATTCGCGGCACGTGGCAGGAAGTAAAGTCGCTCGCGATGGATGGAGGAGATGCTAACGGTACGATCCCGAAGGTGGTCATTCGAAATTAACGCCTGAGTGCCTGCATTACCGGAAATCGGCGGTGTTAACCCGTTCTATTAACTCTCACGACGGTATAATCGCTCCGTGGGGCGATTACTCACGCGCGATCGTACGAAAAGGTCGCGTCTCGCCGGGCGATTTATTTCCTCTCCGATTAGTGCGCGATCGCTCGACGGTGCTTTAGCGCGGGACGCGGGGCCGTAACACACATTGTCGATCCTGCGAAACGTGCGGGAAATGCGTATTAACCGGGACGAAAATGCGCTACGATCGACGCGATCGTACGACCCGAGTGAGAAATCCATTTCCAATTAGAGATTCGCTCGGGCGTAATTGGAAGAAACGAGAAAAAAAAGGAAGGAGTCGGGAAGAGCGTTTTAATTCCATTCGATTTGAATTTTTTAACATTTTAATAGCTCTCTCTCAAATTTCCCTCCCGAGCGCAATCGGATTTATCGTGAAAATCGCGTTCGTTCCCGAGGATTAAACGCGCCCGAGTCCTTCTTCGCTCCTATACGGACCGCGTGGTGATTCTCCACCACTACCACCACCACTACTTCCTCCTCCTCCTCCTCCTCCTCCTCCTCTTCCTCCTCCCCCTTCTCTTCCTGCCGCTCCTTCTCCTCCGACTCTCTCCCGGGATTATCGGACGCAAAAATCGTTATTTAATACCCCCGCGTGAGATCCGAAAGGTATACTGTCCTCTCGAACACAATATCGTAAATCCGCCGTTTAATTGCGCTCGCGAGAATCCGCTTTTACTATCGGACCTCGCAAGATTAACCCTACTCAAGCAGCTGTTTCGCCTGCGTTCTCGAACTCTCTCCCGCCGCGTTCTTCCGCGGCCGACATCTCGCGAAGGATCGCGCCCGTCGCTCGCGAGCGAGACTCGCGATCTTGCCGATGTCTGTCCGGGAAATAAAGTTACTGCTTCGTGATTTTACAAAAATAACGGAACAACATTCTGTCGAACTCGCGAGGCGACAACAACGTGCGCAACAACGAGACTCGCGGCCCGAACTGTTTATTTTGACAGTTTGAAGTATTAACTTTGCGGCGATTTCGTTGCAGCGAACTGTTCAAGAAAAATGTCCTCACATGCGTCGTCTCTCGACGTGTGGCAATACGTGTTATAATATAATAAAAACAAATCGTGTGTTATAATATAATAGAACACAAAGCGGCGGTAAGGTGCTCCTCGATGCAATCACGGAGAAGCAAGAGAGAAAAAGAGAGGAAGACATATAAGGTGGGGATAGAGAGAGAGAGAGAGAGAGAGAGAGAGAGAGAGAGAGAGAGAGAGAGAGAAACAAATCTGAATTTCTTCACAAACAATAAAGTGTTCTACAATGGAATGCTAATCCGGCGATAATGTCGTGAAACTCGGTTTCGTGTTGCGTAATGCCACGGGATTGAGAGGAATCGGTAACACGCGACGGCTGTTCGCCTTCGGCAATACGGATATTCCGGGTGTAAATCAGACCAGATTAGAATGGAGGGGTTAAGGTGCCTTCGATGGTGGTTGTACGACAATCGTACCCGCGAACCGGCAGGCGCCAGGTCGAACCATCTCGTAAATTACTGGGGGAATCAATATCGGCCTCGCTTTCCTCTTCCTTTCTCTTCTTTCTCTCTCTCTCTCTCTCTCGTTCTTTCTCTCTATTACTCTCTCTCTCTCTCTCTCTCTCTCTCTCGTTCCGGACTGCCCTCCAGACAAGAAAAACTTTTATAGGCGGCATGGTTACGATCTACGAACTGGCTTTCACGAGGGATCTGAATTAGAAACTAATTCCGCCTCGGGATAAAAATAACGGCAACAATGATAGTATAATATAACATAATAAAATAAGAATGAAGATTTCACGAGATTGAAGACCGCAATCTTGCGTCAGTCTCTCTCTCGTGGCGCATAAAGATGCAACCGTTCGCAGACCTGAAGCCACGTACGAAAAATTCTCACATTTGGCAAGAGCCGGTTATAAAAAAGTTTAAAGTAAACGGTAAAACTTGTTACTTACACACGGTACAACGATATTAACGACAATAAAGAGCCAGCTGATGTTTCACATCGTAAGAACATTTAGAGGGAAGACAAAGAGAGAGAGAGAGAGAGAGAGAGACAGAGAGACAGAGAGAGAGCGCTTGCGAGCGGCCGTGAAAGGACAAATTTATAGAAAATGTATCGGAACTCCGTGACGAACGGTAGCGTGTATACGCAGGATTTTATTAACCCGCTTGCATACTAATTAAATAAATCACCGATGAGACAGGCAAATACACAACAAAATGCTCGCGAATGATTAATGCGCGCGCACAATCGTGATAAATGCGCCGGAATTGCGGTGTCGGTGAGTTACGGCGAAGGGCGTTATCTAAAATAATTAAATGCCGCACCGCGTCGTTAAAGAACGCGAACGGATTTGTCCCGACGATTGCGCTTCGACTCGTGTCGTGCCACGGCCACTTTATGTGCTTTCTCTCTCTCTTTCTCTCTCATCATACACACGTACACACACACACACACACACTAGCTCTTTCCGACATTAATATGCATGCGAGAGCAATGCGTCCGGTCTAAAGCACGCCCGTGAATGATTACAAGCGTCATTCCGAGGAGAGTTCGTTTCGTCCTCGTGGACATTCTTTAAAAGCAATCTGTCCAATTAGACCGTTGTGACGTTTAATGAGACACCCGGTGCCGATACATCAACTCGCGAACGGATCCACAGGACGTTTCAAAACAAGATACACGCGCTTCACCAGCCCCGTTTTATAAAACGCGCGTTCGCAAATTTCACTCGAGTAAGACGCAAATTAATCCAAGAAATTTTCTTCGATTTTGTTTCTTCAAAGGGCGGACCACTCGAATTATCATTATTATCAAGACGTAACGACAAACGGTGAAATTAGATTTTTACAAAATATTCGATGAAAAATTTGTTATTAATTTATCATAAAAGATTTTGGATAATCTTTCGTAGTAAATACTCTGCATCCGAATTAATACAAGTTCGCGTATATTCGCGGAGGTTCGAATGTTCGAACATCAAAGCCCGGATTATCCGGATAATTGGTAATTTCGGATTTGGGCAAGCGGTTGATGATTCTTTTGGGGTTATCCGTTCGTCCAATGGTCCGCATACCTGAGCAGTCTCAGTTGAGACGGTCTGTAGAAGGGCGCGTGTAGGGGGCCGAGTGTAAAAATGCGAAACCTACGCTCAAAGCCGGCGCTTACTTATTATGCATACGTGCGATTATGCACTTTTCAATGCGCGGCTCAATATATCCGTGAAAAATTGGACCGAGTGACACGCGGAGGGTTGTTCAAGAGATGCTCATTCGAGATAGGATTGGCGCGCCGGCATCTCTCTGCACAGCCTGCGAATTATAAGCTTGCTAGTGAAACGAAGAGGAGAAGCGAGGACGAGGGACATGGTGAGAGAAAGAGAGAGAGAGAGAGAGAGAGAGAGAGAGAGAGGGGGGGGGGGAAGGGAAGGAAGATAAAGACCGAGTTCGCAGCTACTTTATCTGCATCAGGCGCTTCTCGCGGGAATGCGAATGCGTCTCCTCTCGCGAGACACATCACGTCGCGAGCACGATTAATTAAGCGACAAGGTGTCCCTCTTGCGTGTAACGAAGACGAGGCGCGAGGCGCGGCTTTCTCATGGTTTGCCCGCTTATCCTCGGGATTCAATTACCCGACTTGACTTTTTGCGCCACGAGCTGCTTCCGTGACGTCACAGCCGACTCGGAGGAGAGAATGACGAGACAGCGGTGGACGCGACGTCTTCATGATCGCAGCCGTCGTCGGCGGCGGGCGGCGGGCGGCGGAGCGGACGACGGAAAAAGGAGAACACGCAGTCATGCGTGCGAACACGCACGGACGAGACGCGCGGGAGGCGTTCGCACCTTCGCGGCGGGATGATTAACGCTTCCTGGCCGCTGCTTCAGATCCTCTCTGCGTGCGCGCGCTCGCGCGCGAAAGAATCGCGGATTGCGGATCGCGAGCGCGGGTCTAAACGCGGGGATAAACGATCCGCTCGCTCTCCTCGCATCTCCGCCGATCGGAGCTCGCGCGTGCATCGTTCATCGTGCCGCCAGATATCGGACTATTAGTACCGCCGATGGTACGCTATTAATCCGACCGATGGACGGCACCGCTCTCGGCTTCGCGTACTCCCGGTGTACGGATGTTTCTCGGAACGGGGCGATCTTTTTCACGGACTTGGACGGAGAGAGAGCGCGCGCGCGCGCGCGCGAGAGAGAGAGAGAGAGAGAGAGAGAGAGAGAGAGAGCACATCGAGCTCGATCCTGCACAAGGCGAAGACGCGTCTCGCAGAATCCCGCTCGCGTTCGAGCGAGGGAGATCATTAATCGCGCCCCATTGCTACGGTTACATGGATTCTAATTTCGAGATCGAGATCCAATCTCAATAGCCCTTTTCCCTTTCTCTCGTTGTGCTCGTGAGCGCATCTATCTTTGCGAGGAGACATCGATTTGCCGGCTCCTTATCGCGCGCTCGGCGCTAACTGTTGAACTTTCCGGCGTTTCAGCTTCGCGTTATAAATTACCTGCGACAAGGATAGCGAGTACGCGATGTTTTTCCCTAAAACTCCGCGGAAAGGGTTTGTCCATTAGTTGGGAAACACGAGTCGGTTAATCGGTTGATGATATTTCGCTCGTAATTTGATGCGTTTACTAATCTCCCGAGCGATCGTAACGCGGTCTTCGCAGAAGAGAAAATACAGAGGGAGAGAGGGAGAAAGAAAGATACGATTTCACCTCGATATAACACCTCATAAGAGCGCGGCCATATCTTGGTACACTCGCGGATTTATCGCGAGTGCAACCGGTAACCCCCCACCGTTCATCCCCTCTTTTCCGCCGGGGTCTCATCCCCTTCGCAGCCGTCAGACTTCCCGGTCTGCAGCGAGCGATTCTATTCTTTTCCTTTCGTTTTCTTCTCCTTTTCTTTCTCGTCTTCATGTTCCTTCCTGTTTCGTCCTTTTCTTCCATGGATCGCATGCGAGGTAAAATCGCAACATCCTGCATGCAGGATGGGGAGCGGCAAAAGAAAGAGGGAGCGGCGCGGCGCGGAGTATCAATTAGCTCGAATTACAGAAATGCGCTAAGTGCATTAAGGTTCACCGAGAGAGGAAGAGAGATAGAGAGAAAGAGAGGGGTGACGCTGGGATATTTGATCTGGGCTGTTTACCCGGCGAAATGCGGCCGGCTCAGACGGTTTACTGCGTCGTTTGGCGATTATTCATAGTCACGCGGCTGGCCCGGACCTAAGTATACACATATATATCCTGATATATGAACTTCCCGGAGCTTGACGCGACTTCAAAGCATGGAATGTAACGCGATAGCAAAGTTCGAACGGGTTTGCACCTCGCAGTCGAGTTCTCGACGTGTATTAAGCGATCTTATTCTCGCGAAAATTCTCGCGACGGAGGGAATCTGAGATGATAATTTTACGAGCACACGGGTGATCGTATAAAGATAATAAATATAAACGACGACGATATGAACGATCATTTGTGTAAAGAAGAAAAATCTTCACGGACATCGTCGGTAAGGCGCGTCGCGAGTTTATATCAAGATTCGCGTCTTGCACGCGACGATCGTCGCGGAGATCATTCGGCGATCTAACGCTTCTTACGGCGAGCCTTGGCGGTAATAACTTTCGCTAAACGAGAAGCTAACCAGGTGTTAACCGCGGCGCAGGAAGCGCGAGAGAGGCCGCCGAGAAATCGCCGGTCTCGCGAACGCGATCGATTATCCCGCGCCCGCAGCCGAGAGCGAAAAGTCCCGCCGCTTTTTCCACGACCGGTCGTTGCGCCCGCCGTGGATTAATGTAACACAGGTAATGGCTCATTAACGAGAGCACGTCCCGACGCGTCGGAGTGAGCCGTAAGAGCCGCTCGACCTTTGGACCGCCGTATAAATCTTGGGCCTGCTTCGCTCGCTCTCACCCCGCACATTCCGCGGTGCGATTTGCTATACGGGGTGTCTCGGTTTCTCGACGCTGCTCCTTCGGAAGGAACTCGAACGCATCGCGGGAAGATTCGCGATGAAACTTTCGTTCGCGAGCGAACACGTCCGAGGTGTCGAAATTACTTATAAATCTGCGCATGCGAGTGCATTTCGATCTTCCCTGTATTGTAGAGAGATGTTGTCACAGAATTATGAACAAAATTCCAAAGCGGATGGTCCCGATTCGACAAAAGCTGGCGAATTTTTCAATTTGGATCGTTCCTCTGTGAAAACACCGAGATCTCGACTTGTGTCTCAAGTATGAGCCGTAATAGCAAGAAAAATCCGGAAATTTCAGATCGTTCCACGATCGGCCGGAGAAGCGCTCTCTCTCTCTCTCTCTCTCTCTCTCTTTTTCCTCTTTCTCTCCGAAAGACTCGGCGCATTGCGCGCGAATGTCGGCTCACCCTGTGTATGCGCGCTGGATCGAAGCATCGTGCTCGATTTACTCGCTTCAATCATCGCCGCGCGCTTCCCAGGACGCCGCGGGAAAAACGTGGACTTCTGTATATTGCGCGTCCGGTAGTCCGGCAGCTTCATCGGTTACCGAGAGGCCAGCGTTAATTACTTTCGCGTTTCACAGTGTGCAAACACGCGGCTGGATACGCGACTCGTCCGTGGGCGTGTGCGAAACGAACGCTCGGTTAGAGCACATCGGAGCTCCGTCTCTCTTTCTCTCTCTCTCTCTCTCTCTCTCTCTCTCTCTGTCTGCCTTCCTTTTATTCCCGCGGATCGTTTACGTTATCTTTAATCCTCTCTCCCGTTTCTTCAGATTATCTCGAGATGCCGAGAGAGAGATAGTCGACTACTTCTTATCCCGACGTTTGGGGCGTTACGTAATGCGATTCGCGTGATTCCTTTCGCAGGATGCTCCTAAAACGCGAGCCGAGCAGAGACGAGCGCGAATTAGCCTGTCGCTTTTCCGGGACGAGAACCCGACAGTTCAAGCGAGACGACGCTCAAGTTGTCGGGCAGCCGTCGAGGTGTCCTCGTCGCGCATATTGAGAAGTTGTTCCCGATACGAACAACAACATGTGCGTTCCTTACATATTTGTCATCTCGGACAGCCGAGAGGACTCGAGAGTCGAGAATCAGATCGATGCGAAACGGGGTTAAAGGGGGCGACTGTGAGCACATACATATGTACACAGACACATTTGCAGTTCGCGCAAATTGCTTGTAAATCCGCAATTCCGCGGAGTAATATATATGTAATACAGACACGTCGAGAGGAGGTGAGATTAATTTTGCATGCACTCACCATTGTCCCAAGCGGCATCCTTAGTCCTAAGTAACGCAGCCAGCCCGATGTTGTCTTTGGGCATAACACGATTCAGCATGTTGTCCGAACCCTCCGCGTTCGCCATTGCCAATTGGTTGAATTCGACTAAATGCTCCTTAATCAGGGTGAATCTGCAAAAATAAGACAGGAATGCATTCGCGCGCGCGAAGAACCGACGACGAGTCGTTGCGTTCGCACGAAACAATTAATTAAAGCTGAAGATCGACACAAAACTGGCGCAAAGTCAATCATCTCGGGGTCATCAGGTGGAACGTCTTTGCATCGGGAGTGCATTTTTCCTCAGGGAGAGTAACGAATCGGCTGTGTCTCACACACACACACACACACACACACACACACACACACACACACACACACACACACACACACACACACACAAACACACGAGGAAGAACACACTCGACGAAAGACCGTCTTGTCCGCGTTCCACCTATGAAATTGCAAGCAGGAAAGAAGCCCGTCCCGGAGGGATTAATCGCGTCGCATCGCAGGTCGCGGCAAGAAGCGCGCATTAACTTCGACGCGACCCGTATTTCACGAATGGTGAAACTTTGTGCGCTGGGGCGAGGGGGGGAGGGAAATTCCCGGCCGTTTTTCAATCGATCGGTGGACGTGAGTCCCGATAAACGGCCGGCGGGCCACAATTTCGTCGCGGAGTGACGTGGTGGAAGGACCTGGTGTGAGCGCGCGATACGACGTGGATACGAGAGAGAGTCGCCGTCGCTCTCCTAGTCGTCGTCGCCGTGCCGGACGATTTTCGTGGTGAAGCGGCCGGTGGTACTCGTGAGAAAAGCGTATCACGTACACGCGATGTAGAATATCCGGGCTTCTCCTTTTCTCTCCTCAAGCTCGCCGTTCGCATGGCCGATATGTGCGGCACGTATGCCTTGAGAAATATATTCTTCGCCGAATACCCATTACAAGCCATCATCCCCTCTCGCCTTCTCTTTGGCCCTCGCCGCTTCTCCTGCCGGTGGGCCGTAAACAAGATTGAATCAACGTCATTCGCGGTCGCTCAAGAGGAAAGAAAGAGAGGAAGAGGGGGGAGAGAGAGAGAGAGAGAGAGAGAGAGAGAGAGAGAGAGAGAGAGAGAGAGAGAGAGAGAGAGAGAGAGAGATTCGGGTGAGCGACGAAATCACATCCACTCTCGTGGAAGCGAATGAGTTCGAAGACCTGACCGCTTATTTCGTCCGCGAACTGTCCGGACTTGAGGCTCGGGCGTATATCCTCGACTTCCAACCGCTGGAAACAGCACAGTTCGATCGCGCCCTCACGCGATTCGCTTCCTGACGAACCTCGTGTGAACTCCGCCGCGAGCCTTCGGCGAGCGAGGGAACTGCACTCGCGACTGCAATTACGTTTCTCCTCGCGAAACACGCCCCCTTCTTCTTCTTATTCTACGTCTTCGCGGGCTCGGCTCTCGTTTCACGAGGGAGTAAAACCGACGCGCTAGAAGAATGCTTATCGTCCGAATGCATCGTAGAATTTTAACGCTGCGTCGCGCTGCGAAACGCACGTGCGACGACGAACTTCGGTCGCTCTCCTTCCCCTCTCCTCGCGTCGCAACTTTTTTCTCCTTTTTATGTAGTAAGCAGCACCTCGACATCGCGATCGTATAACCTCGGCGAGGGGAGGCAATAAAGCCGGGAATGATCGAGGGGCGAGCGCCGAAGGCGGAAATTGAACGCGAGTTGAACTTTACGCTCATCGCGCGGCGAGCCGGCCGCGCCGCTGATTCGGTTCGGTCGATTTGGTCGCGTTGCGCGGCCGGATTGAAATCGATGGCCGCGTCTTTGCAAGCCATAAAAGCGACCGTAAGCTCCTTCTTTCCCCCTTCGCGCGCCTCATCGTCGTCGAGCGGAGAAATCCGTGGCGGGATAAAAGAAAAGAGAAACCACGGCGGGGAAGGTGACGGGGGGGGGGACGGGTGGGTTCGAGCGAGAGGGAGCGAGTTATGCGAATTATGCGCGACCTCGCGCGCCCCGCAGTAGTACGAGCCGTTTTTGCTCAGACGAGCGCGCGCGCCGCTCGCGAATTCCTTCCTGCGCGACAATAATTCTTACGGCCGACTCTCCCTGCGTCCCTCGTGCCGCGACAGCTGCGGCTGATCGCTTTGTAGCGAATAAATAGCCGCGTCGCCGATATTATTTTGCACAAGGGTGAGCCGCGCGCGGCGAGCGGCGACGGAAACCGCGAGACGACCAAGTCGGAGAACTTCGCGCCTAATTCCGCTCACGAGTCCGCGCACGAGATTTTTACATTTGTAAGTTAACACCGCGACCGACTTCAAACGCGGTGCCTCTCGAGCCGCCGAAACTTCAAACACGTAGCTGCCGATGCTCCGCAACCTCACGGGTCCGCGATTACCGTCTCAAGCGTTACTTCAATTTAAAAGATAAATTGATAAACGTACAAGGGTCTTCTCGGTGCGCTTTCACGCGCGATCAGATCGATATCCCTTTATCTCGATCGCGGTTTCACATAAATAAAATCGACCGACGCACTTGCTTGTTCTCTCTCTCTCCCTCCCATCCGGACGTTAATCTCGAGTTACGAACCCTCCCGATTAACACGGTGATGTTTAACGCTGCAAATGACGCGGCGGCGGGTTAAAACGACGCCGCGGTGCGTTTAACAGCGAACTCGCCGGCGCAGGGGAGGAGGAAAGGACGGGTACGCGCGCGTGCGCACACACACACACACACACACACACGCGCGCGCTCGCTCGTTCGTTCGCTCGCCGCCATCGACCTTAATATTGTCACAGAGAGACATTTACTTCGCGGGCTATTTACGACGGTGGGCTATAAAAGGGACCGTTACGCGAGCCGCGCGCCATATGCATACGGTCGCATTAATCGTCGCGCTCGATAGCCCCGGGCGCGTCGCGCGGCGGTATCGCGGACCTGCCATTACGTCGAGATACACTGAAAATAAGCATTAGTCGAAATAGATATCTCGTGCGGCGCGACCGGCGATGATTAATGCGTCATAGAAGCGGCGCGCGGGCAGCTGCGACGCTCCCGTGTATTCGCGGCGCGCCGCGCCGCGCCGCGGCGAAGGCAATTTCTGCGCGCGTATCGATGTCGCCTCTCGCAATGCGCCAATAATTCCGCGACATCGTATGAGCGAATGCATCGCCGGGGCTTCATTGAAAGCAGAAACATCGCGGCCGTGTGCGCCGGAGATGCGCCGAAGGGAAATCCAGACGCGACATATCACGGAGGAGTCGCTTCGCGTCGGTGTAAAATTCGAGCGTTGTTAACGCGCCGGGAATTAATTTGTCCCGATATGTCGAAATGTAGCAGGCGAAATTAGCGAAGAGCACCGCAACGATGCGCTGTTTTCAGCTGCCCGCGGGCATTATTTTTTGATTTTGCGCGAGGCGGAAAGAGGGGATGAGGAAAGAGGATTCATTCATCGATTCGCGATTAATTAATTCGCCGAATACGAGAAGACACGCGCTCGAGCGCGCGAGAGCGGCGCGACTGCTTTTCTATTAAACACTGGGGCCGGCGATTTACGACGCGCATTACTATCTGACGCGATATTGGATCACCATGACGTTATTACACGTCAGACACGCGCGCGACGCTTTGTTAAATTACGAGCGCGGACGCGTCTTTCATTCCCCGTTTGGAATTAAATGTCGCGCTTCGGGAGGCCGGGACTCGCCTCCCCGATATCGTCAGTGATAAGCGGAGCTCGTCGCCGGCTTTGTAATTGTCGTTTGGCAAACAGCGGCGACGGTAATCTCCGACGCAATAATCGAATACCGAAACGCGAGATCTCGCGTGCAACGCGACGCGACGCGACGCGACGCGACGGTATAATTAAAAAAATTGTCGATATCATCGTCGATATCGGGCTCGCCGTTAAAGGGAAATCAAGCTCGCGCTCGCGCCACGTCAAGATTTCACGTGAGATCGCGCGGATTATATCGTAATTACACACATCGCAACTATTAACCTAACTAAGTTATATCGTTTGAAAAATCACGGGGTTATTAAAACCGTAATCTCGGTGCAATGCGGCTGCGATGATGCTTGCGCGTGCACGCGTGTGTTTCTACGCGCGTTACGATTTTATCGAGGAATCGGCTTTCGAGAAATTTCACGGTGCATTCGCTCGCGGGGTATTCGATCGCGCGTGATCGATAACTGTATTACATCGGACAGCACTTTCCGCCGCATCGTCGTGCGCGTTTATTAGTTAAATTACCACGCCTCTTAATAAATCGATGGATTGCCGGACGAGAGAGAGAGAGAGAGAGAGAGAGAGAGAGAGAGAGAGGGAAAGAAAGAGAGAGAGAGAGAGAGAGAGAGAGAGAGAGAGAGAGAGAGAGAGAGAGAGAGAGAGAGAGAGAGAGAGAGAGAGAGAGAGAGAGAGAGAGAGAGAGAGAGAGAGACGGAGAGAAAGAAACGGAAGGGGAGAGCGTCGCGACATTCGTTTTTCTCTCTCACTCGTCCTCTCCTTTTGCAGCGTGCCAATTAGAGCGCTTGTCGAGACAACGAAATGCGCAAAGAGAAATGACAAATTAGCGCTACGTTCTACGCGCGATACACGCGTAGAAACGGCCGCGAACAATATAAAAATGCCGGTGCGCGCGTGTCAACTCCGGGCCGCTCGTTGGCGGCTGAATTATTGCGCGTGATTATATTTACCGATGAGCTTACGCTCTATATCATGCATTTATTTAATTCGCGATATATCTCCCTTTTGTGCCAACAGCCAACACAGACGATACGCGAGCGGTTTCAGTCACTGGCGCGATCGCGCGCGACAGATATCTCGCGATTGGCTCGCTTATTTTCGCCTCGCTCTGGAATATCTCGCACATGCACACATACACACACACACACACACACACACACACACATATTCATAGACACAGCCTTGCCGCACCGTATGAGCAAAGAGAAACGTAGAGGAATGCGCTTACTTGGCGGTCCTATAAAAAATAGCGCAGCCGTCGACGTATTTGCGGTCGTTCTCCGCCATCGTCTTCGCCCGGGACTTGGGCGAGAATATGCCGTCGTAGCCGTCGTGCTTGAGCTCTGGCAGGAAGAAGTTGTAGAATTGGTCCGTCTCGACCTCCTGCAGGCTGATGATGTCTGCCGCATAGTGGCGTATTTCATCCAGAATACCCTTCTTCCGGTACTCCCAGTCCAACGCCCAGCTCGGACAGTAGCCGTACATCTGTCGCGTGGCGTACTTGTCGCACAACACGTTGTAGCACATCACTGTGAAGATACCTGCAACAGCGAACCGAACGTGCCCCGCCGTGTACAGCAGCACCGTAACAGTAATTTGGATTCGCTAATGCTAACGACCGTTCGCGTTATTTCTCGCCTTTTCCCTCGCTCACTCGTCGCGCCATCGCGGGCGAGTCTCGTTCGCGGGTGAGACAGAGAAGACGGGATACGCGAGTCCTTAGACACACAGTCCGCGAAATAGCTCTTTTCCAAACAATTTTTTTGCGTAATATTTTTACGTGATACTTTTGCATACGCAGTCTGTAAAATGGTTGCGCACGATACGTGGCCTCCTTCGTGGCGGGAAGGATCGAAGAGCACCGTGGTATATTTTTTACACGCGAAGAGAAAACAATCCGAGGTGCTTGGATCACGCCAAAGTCCATTCTCTAAGGAATCGTTACCCCGCGACGAAATTCGAGATGGAGATTCCCGACCGCGAGGGAACATCCGAAGAAACGAAGAATTACATCCACGCGCCGACACGCGCTTTCGCGCGCGTTACACGACGCGCCAAGTCCCAAGTAGAATTCCGACGTCGTGTAGGTCGTCCTTAACATAAAATGTGGACTTTGCATTATAATTTATAATGCACAGCACGGAGATAAGAGTCACGCGGCAACTTGTTGCGGCGGCGCGGACAAGCGGACAAGCGGAGAATCTCACGACGAGCGGCCGGCGAGAGCAGAGTTGACGACGATCGGTCATCGCGACGATGATCGATCGCCTCTTCGCGCGATAATTAGCGATTGCTTTTACCAATACCGAAGTGAACTCTCACGTCGCGGCGGATCGGCGCGTCGCTCGATAATCGAGCGAACGAAGGAAGAAAACGGGGCGAGAGGAAGGAAACGAGGTCTCCGCGAGTCTTCAACTAGTCGCCCGCTCTCTCGCCGTCACCCGGGATCACCTCCGTCATCCTCGCGCCTCGTTATTCCGCGTCGTTCACTTCCGTTACTTCGCCGCTACTTCCAAATCAAATCCCACGCTCGTAAATTCCGTCGCGCCGCGCGTAACGCAGGCCGAGGGGGAGCGGCGCGCTCGTTTCCCGACGCGCTCGTTTCCTTTGCGATCTCGATTCACGGTTACTCTTTCTCTCTTCTCCTCCGCCCTCTCTCTCTCTCTCTCTCTCTTCCATTCTTTCTCCCGCGTCTTCGTGGCCCGACTCGACTCGGGCCTCCGTCGGCTTCCATTTTCCTCGGGTTTCCGCGGCGGGCGGAAAGCTGTTTCGCGAGAGCCTCGTCTCTCGTAAACGCCAGTATGTACGTACGTACCAATGTACGTACGTGCCAACGTAGCGTAGGGGGGGGTACATGTTGCGCGCTCAGACGACCGCGCGTGCGAAGCGAGCGGGGGGGGGGGTGGGATAAGAGGATCAGCATAAAGCGAGCTGTCTTGCCGACGTCGCCCGGCTGTCTACATAAATTCCCGACATCCTCTCGCCTGGTCTCACCTCACTTCGTGCCGTCTCGTCTCGTCTTGTCTCGTCTCGCGACGTCTTCGCCAAGTTATTCCGCCGCGCGCTATAATATCGTGATTAGTGCGCGAACGCGACGAATCAAGTGCGAAACAAGTCGCGTCGCCCGAGGGACATCCGGCCTTCCTCCTTCTCCTCCCCCTCCTCGTTGTCGACTTGCCGCCTGAAGCGGCGAAACGCACTCCGACGGTCGGTTTCGACATGCGGATGCACCGCGTCTTCTGTCTACCGTAAAACGATCCCGAGTCCCGGACGATATACTCGCGCGGACGAATATTGCGTCCGATTCTGAGTTAAATTAAAGTCTCCGTCTCGCGGCGGCGACTTACGATGTTCATCAGCAGCGATCGCCTGATCATCGACAAGCGCCGAGCAAACGGAGAAGCGGTTCTTGAAACTCCGATCAACGCGATACTCGTTGCTCCCCGCGGTTTTCATGATGCCATGGGGCGCGGGGGGGGGGGGGTAGAGGTACGCGATTTCGGGACGATTTCTCTAGCGAGAGCGACTGGTCGTGGTGCTCTCCTTCGAGAAACACATCTCGGATCTCGATGCGCTGATACGCTGGAACTAATTTGAGCCGCGGCGCTGGCCGATAGACGGCCGAGCTAAACCAGTAAATCAGCGGTTCTATTACCGCGAACGCGAACGTACCGGGGGCGGGGGCAAGCCCGGCCGCCGCCGCCGTCGTCGTCGTGTTCGCGCAGGAAGAGGGAGAGAGTATGAGAGGGGGGGGTGTAAATAATTGAACCGCGGTATCCGCCGCAATCCAATAACGCGTGTGCACGGCTGAGATTGTGGTTGCACCGATAGAGGACCGAGGCCGGTATCAATCAGTATCGATACCTTTGGGTCTGAAAAGAATTACGATAAATCGCACGAGAGGAATTGAGAATAACGCTCTCGCGCGTCGGGCGATACGCAAACGAGAGGGCAATTCGGTGGCCCAGAAAGTGAATTAAGAGCGACGGATTATTCCTTCCTTGTTGCTCCTTCTGTTTCTTTTCTCTTTTTTTCTTTTTCCTTTCGCCAGTTTTCCATCTCTCTCTCTCTCTCTCTCTCTTTGAGATTCCGAGACATTTTCGCTACGGCGGCGAACGACGCGGCGCGGTAAATAGAGAAGTGATTAAGAGCGGTGTAATAAGCAGAATGAATACGCTAATTCAACGGCGACGTGTGTCTAATGAGGTAGCAAAGCCGCTCCCGATTTTTCACGCTCGGCGCAACGACGCGCGAGATACAAAACGCGAGATAACGCGATATGTAAGACAACATTAATTATACAATATAGCCGCGCGCGGCGCTCCGCGGCGGCGCGCAGCGCGAACGCTTTTAATCTTTAATTATCCGTTCCCGACGCGCGGCGATAGAGTCGGCCGATAGGGGCTTTTTTAATCGCCGCGATAAATACGATCGTTAACGATTCGCCGATTCGTTTCCCCCGGAGCGGGGCACGAGGCACACCCGAGGGGCTGTTAACACAACGTCGACGAGTCTCCTTCGGCATTCGCCGACGTCGATCGCGTTCTTAAGAGGGCATTATTCGAGCTCGATCTCGCGTGAGATATGCGTCGTTAATGGGCGCCCCGTCGTCCCACCTCCCCCTGCTGTACTTAACTTCGACAAGACGGAGACACATGTATACATACTCGCACACATACACACACAGATACAAGTACGTCCGACTCGAGGGGTGCCTTCTTATCGAGCTCACGTCGTGAGCGTGATGCGATAAGGAAGTTGACAGTGGACTTTTCCCGCGGATTACCGCGTCGATGTTTCAACGACACCGTCGAGTGTAACCGTACAAAGAACATTTACCAGCGTGGCCGTGATAAATGAAAAGGAAGACGAAGGAAAGGAGGAGTCGCGCGGATCTGACGGTTTCGTGCGAGAGTTGCCGAGCGAACGGCGATCGGAAAAGCGGCAAGCGGCTGCTTTTTGCGAAATTGCGCTGCCGCTTTCTGCTTCTCTCTATCGCGATCGCGGTGGCGTGTCTCCTTTTCCGGGCGACTCCGTTTCCATGTAACACCAATTTCTGAGGGGATTGGCCTAATCCGCGGATTACCGGTCCAAACTGATAATGACCAAAGTTAGCGGATAGTTATAGTACACATCGCCACGATCTACGAGCATATCCCCGAGGTTGCTAAACCTGATCGCTTCTCCAAGTGCAGCGTATTTATCGGCGGCGAACTAAGTCAAACAAGTCCACAAGTCCAAGTTTCGCGCGAGCGCGACTAATATTAATTATACGTAGCCACGCTTCTCGTCCCCCCCCTCTCCCCTTACGCAGCGATTCGGCGCGATTCGTCGGCATTTACCTATCATTCGACGAAACGCTTGATCCTGATGCCCGTTATCATCTCGACAAATAGATGCGCCAAATTCCCGCGATGTATTTTCTCCGCGGATCGGACATAATTCTCACGTAATCATCGAGTATCTCGATCCAAACTTGGACCTCCGTCCTAATAACGAGATCCCCACATCTCTTTTCGTCACCGGGATCCCAACGGGAGTCGAGTGAGAATAATAGAGAAATATCTCGCGAGTAGAATTTGGCTCAGTTTTGCGACAGAGAGAGAAAGAGAGAGAGAGAGAGAGAGAGGTGGGGGGAGGGTGGAGGAGACGTCGTTCCAAGATAAACGCGTCTCAGGCCAAGGGCTTTTAATCTCGCGACCGCCAGGAGACGATCGAACAATCGGGACGAATATCCTCAGCGGTTTGGCTGAGAGCGGCGAAAGCGAGCGGTAAAAGTATTCGCGGAGTGCGCTGCGTTCGGCATTGGCGAACTTGTCGGGGATTAGGGCGATGCCGCAAGTCGTAAACTAAAGTTCGACGAGAGCGAGTGCTCGGGGCACGGTCGCCGGCAAATAGCGAATGGCTGGCGAGGGAGAGCCTCGAAGAGGCCGGCAGCCAACCTGTTAATCACTTTAATCTGCCAAGTGTTTTAGCCGCTCGGAGGAATATGCTCGAAGGAGCACTCCCGGAACTTCTCTCTCTCTCTCTCTCTCTCTCTCTCTCTCTCTCTCTCTCTCTCTCTCTCTCTCTCTCTCTCTCTCTCTCTCTCTCTTCGACCGATGTTATGGGCAAACGATAGATATACAGAGGCAAGACCGAGCGCGCCGCCGCTCTACCATGTCCGTTAATTTCAATACACCTGGAATTCTCTCGCGTTCGGCACGACCGAATAATCACAAGGGTTGTAATCGAGTCGTCGTGGGGACGAGCCCTCGGAATTTCTTGCGGTGAGATCTCACTCGCAGAGTGCCGCGGCTCAGCGAGTCACTCGAATTCGAGCGACTCCTCATTCGCGCAGGGCGAATTCGGTAATCGAGAGTGTAGACGCTGCTCTCTCTCTCTCTCTTTCCCTCTCATATTTCGCGATACTCGACTCGCCGAACGAAGGGAAGCTTGCTTTTATCTCGCGTGAAACGAGGCGTGGGCGCTGACCGCCGGAGGAAAGCAGAATGGCGGCAGTCAATGGCAGCGTGGAAGCGGCGGCTCGGCGGTCCATTCA